ATAGGAATAGACTCTCAGAGAGGAAAATCAAGCAAGCAAGCAAGCAAGCAAGCAAACAAACACCAGAGGTTCAAAGAAGCTTTACATTTTTGCTAAGAGTCACAGTAGAAGTCTCAGCAGCCTAATACAGTATAATAATTTGTCCAAACATATACTACCTCTAAGTAGTGTTGGACACACATTAAATATACAATAAAATTGTATGAATTTCTATACATTTTTTGCTTTGCATTAAAAGTGACAAGGACCACTTTACATAAGCAGTATTTTATATTCTGTATTGAGATATAATTCATTCCATTATTAATTTATAAGACTAACACATTATGATTTAATATATATGGGATAAAGATTGTAAGTATGTATATATGTAACTGTCACACTAGTCTGCTTATCAATTTCCAGCCCATCACACACATTCCTTGGCTCCTGGTCCCCTTCCTGAATTTTTTTTTTTTTTGTCTTTTTTTGAGACAGGGTCTCCTTGTAGTCCCAGCTGCCTCTGCCTCCCAAGTGCTGGGATTAAAGGCCTGCACCACCACACCTGGCCCCTTCCTGAATTTTCAAAGCCAGCAACAGTGGGTTAAGTATGTGTCACATCACCAAGTATGGACCTACCTCCCGTTCCTGCCTTTAAGGCTCTATGCAGTTATATGGGGTCCACTTAAATAATCCAGGATAATCTCATTTCAATGCCCTTAATATAAATACATCTGCAAAGTCCCTTTTGCCATCTAAGTTAGCATTTACTCATTTTGGTGATTAGGATACAGATATCTGGGGGAGGGGCATTCTCATATAATTACAGAGTTCTGACATAACCAGTCGTTTATTCTAAGGCATTATTAGACTTAGCTGGCTTTGAAAAGGTAGTCAGTACCGGTTACAATCCTGGGAAGAAAGGTCTTAATAGGTAGGTACAAGTAGTATGGCATCACTGAACTGAAAAAGAAGCTATGAGGTAGTACCCAGACTGTTAAAAAGCATATACTTTCTGCCTTAAGAAATTTGGAGCCAGGCTTGGTGGCACATGCCTTTAATCCCAACACTCAGGAGGCAGAGTTCAAGGCCAGCCTGGTCTACACAGTGAGTTCCAGGCCAGCTGGGGTTACAGGGAGACCTTGTCTCAAAAAGACCAAAACAAACAAACAAACAAACAAACAAAAATTTGGATTTTGGGACTGGAGAGATGGCTCAGTGGTTAAGAGCACTGACTGCTCTTGCAGAGGACCCAGGTTCTATTCCCAGTACCCACATGGCAGCTACAAACTGTCCTTAACTCCAGTTCCAGGGGAATCTGAAGCCCTCTTCTGACCTCCATGGCACTGCATGACACAGATGCACTCACATACATGCACATACATGCAGGCAATACACTCATACACATAAAATAAAAATAATAAAACACTGGGCTGGAGAGATGGCTCAGCGGTTAAGAACACTGTTCTTGCAGAAGACTTGGGTTTGAATCCCAGCACCCACATGGCAGCTAACAACTGTCCGTAACTCCAGTTCCAGGGGGTCTGACAGCCACTTCTGTCCTCCACAGGCATCGCACGACACAGGTGCACTTACTTACATGCAGGCAATATACGCATACACATAAAATAAAAGTAAATAAAGTATTTTAAAAATAAAACATTAAAAAAAAGAAACTTGACTGGGCATGGTGGTACATGCCTTTAATCCCAGCACTTCGGAGGCAGAGGCAGGCGGATCTCTGTGAGTTTGAGGCCAGCCTGGTCTACATAGCAAGTTCCAGAACAGCTGGGGCTACAGGGAGACCCTGTCTCAAAAACATCAAACACCCCCCCCCCGAAAAAAAAAAACTTGGATTTTACACTAAATAGGCAATTTACAAAGAGATCAGAAGTAAATATAGTTTGGAGGTAGTGGTAGTTTCAAGTGATGTGTACAACTCTTTGATAGAGCTCTCTCAAAAGGCAGAACCTTCTAGGTTATGGTTCAAATGGAAATGTAGCAATGACTGAACTGTATTTTCAGAGGAAAAGACAGTTGAAATGGACAAAAGACAGGTTAGGAGCAGGAGGACCAGAGATAAACTGAGCCCCTGGGATCTCTGCCTATCTCTGTCCCCCAGCACTGGGGTTACAGACAAGAGCTGCCATGTCCAGCTTTTAAGTAGGTGCTGAGGATCCCAACTCAGGCCCTCAAGTCTGTATGACAAACACTTTACCCACTAAACCACTACTCCCAGCCCAAATTCTGAATTTGAGGCCTATTGGGGACCTTGGTAGAGTAGAAATGAATGACAAGCAGCTAAAGCTTTAAAGACATATTCTATCAGAAGAGTTATAAGCTGTCTATGCAGTTAAATGAAACTGAAGGTGCAGATAAAACTCCTTAAAAAGAAACAGGACTAGCTAAAATCAGGCTGAATAGTCTTTCCCTGAAGACACACCAGATTTAAGACGTCACTCTTATTTATGCATCTTCTTTTCCTAAGGGGGAAAAAATGCTTTACCTACACACTACAATATATACATTTTTGTAAATGAGTATCAGTTCCTCCATTTTACCCAATCAAATACAAAATCTTTTTTCCTTTTTATTTTTATTTTTTCAAATACAATTTTTTTTGTTTTTTTG